GATTGTTTTTCCCTGTTAATATAGACTTTTTATATTTCCAAAAATTGATGAACAAAAACTACTTTAAAACAAGAAAATCAAAGTGTTGCCAGGCACAGTGATGCAGGACTGTAATCCCATCAGCTTGGGAGGCTGAGGCAGGAAGATCTTGAGTTCAAAGCCAATCTCAGCAAAAGCCAGGTCCTTAGCAACTAAGTGAGATCCTGTCTTTTTTTTTTTTTTTTAAAGAGAGAGTGAGAGAGGAGAGAGAGAGAGATAGAGAATTTTTAATATTTATTTTTTAGTTCTCGGCGGACACAACATCTTTGTTGGTATGTGGTGCTGAAGATGGAACCCGGGCTGCGCGCATGCGCGCTACAGCTTGAGCCACATCCCCAGCCCGAGATCCTGTCTTTTAAATACAAAATAGGGCTGGGGATGTGACTCAATAGTCAAGTGTCCCCAAGTTCAATCCCTGGTACTCCCCACCCCCCCCTCAAAAAAAAAAAAAAAAAAGAAAATGAAAGTGTTCATAACACATGTGGTGCTGGGGCTGTATGCTTGCCTAGCATGCATGAGGCACTAGGTTTGATCCTCAGCACCACATAAAAATAAACAAACAAAATAAAGGCATTCTGTCCATCTACAACTACCAAAAAAAAAAAAAAAAAGGAAAAAATAAACACATGTATCTATTACCCCACAGGTAATGCTGAATGGCACCTTTGCTACTAGCTATCATTTTAGATAAAAGGACCTTCTATGATCTTGTTGCCCAACTTCAGAGCAGGAGCTGATGCAGTCAACACTATCAAATCCTCAAAAGCATCACCCAGGAGCATAGCTTTACTTATCTCAATGCTTTAAAGTAGTTTCTCATGCAGTTAAATAAGTAGTTTGGTCCCACTTGATCCAGAAGCCAGAAAATAGAATCAGGGTCACATGGGAAGTCTCTCTCTACCCATTCCAAATGTGCACAGGATGTTCTACATGGGAAATGCAAAACTGATGCTTAGAGGAAAAAGAGAATGGGAAATGGCACCCAGGAGGAAAGAAATGGGTACTGGACAGAATGGTACTGGTATATAGTTGTTGAGGTCAAAGTGATAATTAGGAACTCAAAAACGCCAAAATTTCAAACAAAGTTGAAAATGTGTATGTGTTTAAACACTTAGGACATTAAGAGGGAGTAATGATCTGAAAGGAGAGGAGATCGTTTGGGCACTTCAACTATAGACATAAGTAAACAATAAAATAAGTTTAAATGGCGCTGTTAGGGAAGTTTACTAAGGGCAGGTAGGACAACAGAAACCCTTTGTACACTCTTTAAACTAAGAGAACATGTAATCTATATTATTCATGCACCTTTTACACAAGTTTACACATGCACACACAATGGATTCTACAGAGGTAAGTCATATGGTGGGGGTGCAAGAATCATTTGGATAGGATGTAAATGGAGTAGGTCAGAAGAGTGTCAGGGTAGTGGGGGCAGGCACTCCCGATCCCAGGCCCAATGACAGAACCCAAGAAATCGAGGGTGGTGGAGGCTGCGCTGGTGTTCCAGGGAGAATCCACATCACTCGGGTCGCTGTCACCCTTGATTTGGTACTTCCCCGACCCGGGCTCCCGTACCCTCCAAGGTGACGGTGTCCAGTTCTCGCTGGGAGTGCTCAGCCGCTGCCGCCACCGTCTTGCCGTCGGCCTCCCCGGTTGACCCGCTACCCGTCGCTGCCTCTTCTTTCATCTCCACATCCTGGGGGGCCGGGGGCTGTGGTGGTTCTTGTTCTCCTCCACCGGGCGGCGGCTTCGCCTTGTCCGCGCCACGGCGCCGCGCCGAGCCCTCCTGTTTCATGGCGCTCGGAGTCGCGGCCTAGTCCGGGGACCGAGGCCGGGGCCTCGCGTGAATCCTGGTACCAGGGACCAGGAACCGAGCCGGGCCTGTACACAAGCGCGGGCTCGCGTTGGGCCGCACGATGACGGAGCAGCTGCAAACCCCTTCCCGGCGCTGGGTCTTCTGGGAAACGCCAGGCCCCGTGGGTTGATGGCCGAGTCAATTAAGGGGAAAGAAATCAACAGCCGAAGTGCAGGATGAAGGCGGATCTTGGAGGAAGGACGGGGAGGAGCCTGTATGAGTTTGCGGGGCTTTCTTTGAAGTGCTTAAAGGTGTTGATTTTAACTTCTCTTCGAGTGCATTTCTGTGGGTGTCCACGAGAGGTCCCCTCAGACTCCAACCTGGACTTCAACGGACTCTTAAGAGTACCCCAACTGGAATGGAGTGGGTAGGGCCTATCCGAGCGTAGAGCGAGATGACGTCACAAGTTGCCGGGCGGGTTTTGCGTCCATCCTCCAGCAATTTGCTGGGTCTCGAGTGGCCACTGGGATCCGCCGGGCTCGTGCTCAACGGCCGCCCGGTGCCTCCAGCGCGAGGCAAGAAAAGAAGGCTGCGGAGGAGGGCTAGGCTGTTGGGGTTTAAATAAACGGAATTGGGGAGTAGGAAGAAACCCATGGATCCGGACTTCCTTGTCAGATTGTAGTCTACTGCTTTCTCTGCAGCCTAGCCCGGCGGTGGCAGGCACACACGCCTATAATCCCAGGGACTCGGGAGCCTGAGGCAGGAGGATCTCATATTCAAGTCCCACCTGGGCAATTTAGCGAGACCCTGTCCCAAAATTTAAAAACAGAGGGCTAGGGATGTAACTTAGTGGTAAAGTGCTCCTGGGTTCTATCAATCCCCAGTACACCTCCACCCTCCCCAACCCTCCCTCACCAAATCTCTGCAGCCTGGGAGTTTGGATGGGGGAGAGTGTGTTTGCGTAGAATCACTGCAGTTTAATAAAAGATAGGGGTCCACTCTCTGTATGGATGAAAGTTAGCAGAAGGCATGGGTGGGGGTGTGGAAAACTGCTCAAGAATTTAGTACAGTAGCGGGGAGGGGTGGGGAAAGGTGTCCGAAGGTAAGATAGTGGACAGTCTGCTCTGGCCTGCAGCAGATTGTAAGGGTGGAAAGTCCCCCTGGCAGAGGCTTTAGGGAACCTGTTGAAGGGCCTTAAATTGGACCAGAAAGAAACCCTGACCATTTACATTTGAAAGAACTCCTCCAGTGATTCTGTAGGGTAGGAGGATAGTGGTTCCAGTTTCTTAAGATACAATACAGTAATTTCCCATCTTGGAACCTTGATTTCTTCCATAAATGGAAGTTCTAAGTTTTAGACCTTGGATGGACCCTTCACACAATCTAGCCCTGTTGCAAGAACCTAGAGGCAGAGGATATGTTTTGACTGTATTCTGGTTCGTATTCATATGAATTTATGTGATATGTTTTTTTTTTTTTGGTAGGTGGACACATCCTTTATTTTTATGTAGTGCTGAGAATCGAATCCAGGTCCTGCCCTTGCTAAGCGAGTGCTCTACCACTTAGCCACAATCCCAGACCTTATATGTGATATCTTAACATATCTTTTGTATTCTTCCTTTCATACTATTCCTGCAAATAATTGCCTGCATTAAACAGCCACTTTGCTAAATGAAAAAGGTGTGTGCTCCAGTTTTAAAGAACATGTTTTGACCAAGTCCTTCCTGTCCTCTCACCTCCCAGGGCTAGAGTTTGGATAACATTCTTTTGAATCATCACTGGAGTAAACACATTAAAGTGTCTTCTTCACAACACCATATCTGTAGCTGAGGTGGATGAGAATGATAAAGGCAGAACACAGACTTGCTGTGTTGTTCATCCTTACAATCCAAGTTACCCTTCTGGATAGTTAAGATATTAACTCACCTGTCTATTAAGTTTACATCACAAAGGAAAAATAACCAAGTCAGCAGATAACAACCCAAGATGTCCATGAGCAATTAGTGAGGCTTTGGAAGATGCCCAGAAATGGGAGGTGGCTTAAACAAAGCTTTTGGCAGTTGGTCACGAATTCTTGGTGAGTGAGGGAATTAGCCTGGGCAAGTGCTAGCTAAGAAGGGGAAGAGTTTGATTCCTAGGGTCGAAAGCCTTGGAGAGATTATCCCTCCCATAAAACTACTTCAAAAGAGATTGGTGGAGCTGGGCACAGTGGTACACACTTGTAATCCCAGCGACTCTGGAGGCTGATGCACGAGGATCACAAGTTCAAAGACAGCCTCAGCAAAATAGCAAGGTCCTAAGCAATTTAGCAAGATCCTGCCTCAAGATAAAAAAAAGCTGGAGATGTGCTCAGTGGTTAAGCACCTCTGGGTTCAATCCCCAGCACTGAGGGTGGGAGTGGGAGTGGGGGTGGGACGGATTGGTGGAAGATGTTCAAGCCCAGTTTTAGACAGAGAAGGATGTAAACATAGAAGTTTAATGAGAGTGCAATACACATATTAGCAGGTCAATAGGTCAAACCTATCCACACTGCTTTCTCCCACAATCACCCTGAATTGAAGATAGAAAGCTGAAAGAAGAAAATAATACAATTTTGGGGTGGGTGCTGGGGATTTTTTGGGTACTGGGGATTGACCCCTGTGGCACTTAACCACTAAGCAACATTCTCAGCCCTTTTTAAAAATTTATTTTGAGACAGGGTCTCACTAAGTTCCTGAGGCTGGCCTTGAACCTGTATTACTCCTATCTCATTCTCCCGAGTTGCTGGGATTACAGGTGTGCACCATCATGCCTGGTGGAGATAACACAATTAAAAAAAAAGTTTTGGGTCAATCTCATTTTTGGGTTTCATTTTTAAAGATTCATCTGCATTTTCTAATCAACAAGCTTGAAAGTTTTCTTCTTGTGTGCTTGTACTAGCTCTATTTTTTTCCCACCCCTAATCCCTCAACCTGGGGCTAGAGGACTCCAAATGTTTTTATTTGAAGACAAGATGCCTTGATGATCTTGTCATTCTACATTCCACTTTCTATACCCTTATAAATGTTCTCTAAGCATTTTCCAACTGACCTGAGGACAGTAGAGTAGTATCTTGTACATATGATTCATAGGTAGTAGGTTAATCTTTCTTTCTTTTTTTTTGCATAAAGAATTTCCTTATGACAAATTGTGTTTTATTTATTTTTATTGGAACTTTATGGTTGTACATAGCTGTTTGGTTCATCCCATGACAAATTCTTTAAAGAAAAACACAAAAAGACACATTATCCTAATTTCCTCTAATTCCTATAAAGCTTGTTTTTTTCTAAGCACAGGTAGGAGAGATTAGGATAGGAAACTAATTTATCTTTTTTTTTTTTCAGTTTTGCTGAAATGGCTCATAGTTTAAAGGTTGAGTGCTTCTATTTCTACAGGATTTAGGCATTAGCAGACGGGCTTAGTGGGTTGTGGAGGTAGCAGGCGAGATACAAAGTGGGGCAGGTAGAACTTGGTTATCATGGGTGATCAACTAGGATTTTAGTCCTCTTTGTCCTGGTAGTTCTGAAATGCCTTTGGGTATTAAGGACACAGCACTGTGAGTCTGGGCAGGCATCGGGGAGCAGGGGGCAGACAGAAGTCTCATTAGGAAGCCTTGGTCAGCAGGTGAAGGAGGGAGAGACCAGCATAAAGGGCACAAAGGTGGGGGAGTGCGTCTGGATCCCAAGTGTATTGGGGGCCTGATCGCTGCACTTCCAGGCCACTCAGCCCCACTAGAGCTTCTGTGAGGGTCAGTTCCTCTTCACCAAGGGAGGAGAGCAACTCAGGTTGCAGGGGGAAAATGCCCTCTTTATCCTGCAGAAAATTCTGTTCCATCATGCTCTCCACCTGCAAGAACCAAACAAAATATCATGGAAAGGAAGATCTAGAAGGCTCTCTTCTTCTTCCCGACTTTGTAAAAAACCATAAGGTTATATTCCCCTTATCATAACTCCTTATCTTACACATTACAGCTCCATGTGGGTCTTTTAACAGCCCTATACAATCAGCAGTACATTTATTTTGGCCCCATTTTACTGAGGAATAAAT